TTCCACATGCCAACTAATAGTAAATGACCATAATAAAATGTAAGTTTATGGGGTATTTTTGTAACGGTCAAAAGTTCTGGCACAAGCGCGTATTACCTTAAAACTCACGAGGGTCTTATGCAATTTCCCATATGACGTTTTTTTTTTTCATAATTTGAATGATATTTTAAATTTTAGCAAGAAAGTAAAAAAAAGTCTTCACCAAAGCATAAACAAACGTGTCACTTTAATTTTTTTTCTTTTTAGAGCGACTAATCATGACATTTTTTATGTGGTTATTTCAGTTCTAATTTTTTTTTTCTCATTCTTGAAACTCATGGACCAGCAGGCAGCAGCAGTCCCTATCGTGCGCAGCGCGCACACACAACTCACAGGTCACACTCGTGCCTTTTGTGACCAAAACAATTCATGCTTTCTTCTTTTTTCTCGAGTTTATATGCACGTGAAGATGAACTATTTCGAGCTTAGATTTCATTATTTAAAAGCCACGCGTGGATATTCAAATGCATCTGCGACGGCGGACTGCTACCTTCGGCTTCTTCTGTGGGCGATGCTGTAGAGCCCGAAATCGTTGACCGTGGATTTTCCCGGAAATGGACGCAAGAGATTGCCTATAAGAGGGAAAAGAGGGTTGATTAATATCTCAAAAACAGGCAAAGCACGAGAGAGCTGACTCTCTTGAACACGAAAGGGGTAGACAAGAGAGAGGAGGGCGGGATAGGGAAAGAAATCGATGAGAAATGGCGAAGTTCCCAACAAAAATACGAGAAGTTATTGCACAAACTAAAATTTTTAACGGGCTTGGAAAGAAACTAACGAGAAATGTCGAAATTCCTATAGAAAATCAAGGGAGTCATCATACGAAACCAATGCCTGCTGGCTCAACAATAAATTAGTTTTGACTTTTGATCTTGAGATTTATCAAATCTAAAGATCTATGTTAGTTGGTACATGATCTTCTGAAGAGCACGAAGATAGCAAATCCTATGTCTATGCGACGATAAAATGAATCTCACTGGACTCAAAGGCATCCTCAAGACTTGGTTGGCCGCCCTATTAAATTCGCTTTCTTTTTCTTTTTTCGTTTTTTTTTCTCGCCAGAGATTGATTTTCGCATTGCTATACATTACAAGAGATTGTTTTGTGAGTACGAGAATTTCTTAACCACATAAGCACGCGCGGTACTTAAAGCATTAAGCCGACATATGGTGATATGTTTACCACGTATGACCGATCACACCGATCCACGATAAGAGAGGCTCAAAGCATTCTACTACCTCGCGTAGCCCACTTCCATCCTTGGCTCTACCAAAGGGCACGAATGCACGAATGCACGAGGAGAAAACTGGCGGGTCATGGGCCGGGCCCGAACCCGAACCCGGGAAAATGTGATGTTGCCTCAAGCTGGTGATGGGCTGTATAGTGATGAAGAATGTAGGCCCAGTATCTTCGCCAGCATAACCGCACTGTGATGTCAAACAAGGGCTATTCCCCAAGCCCTCGTCGTTTTGGGCCCTGAGCCTACTCGGCAAACTTCAAGAGAAACCGGGCGAATTGCTCGAAACCCCGCGAATTTCGGCGCCGGTGCGCTATTGCTCCCGAACTTTGAAAAGTTACAGATTACCCCCGTCCGCTTGACGCGGTTGCATAGTAGTCCCCGGACCTTGAAAAGCTATAGATTACCTCCCGAAAATATTATTTTTGGTGCCAGTCTTATCTGTTTATAAGGTTAATGAAGTTACAAAAAACTGAGAAGATGCATGATCTGTGAAATTAAGAAAATTTAGTAGGGGATATTGAAGTTAAGAAAACACGAGTTGCCCATGCTTAACGGCTCTCGAGTGGAGAAGCTGGCGATTGCAACAAAAATCAAAATTTAAGAGGAAATAGCACGTAACTCTTCAAAGCTTAGGGCTATTTTGCAATTGTGCCGAAGTTAGAGGGGTCTTGAGCAATTACCCCCCATATTTCCAACACGTTACCTTTGCTAGGCCTGCTTGGCTCAGGCAGGACCCAAGGACAAACCTAGGTTCCTTGGTCGAATTTGGGACCAGTCCTAAAAACCTTCATTCAACCCCATTCACGACTAATCGTTATCCACTAGGTGGGCATAATAGAGTTGTACCCACAAATATAGCCTGCTCAAATTCTAGTAGAATCGTATCCTACCCCTCGATCTCCCTCTATGTATTTCGTGGAAAAAGCAATAATCAAGCCGATCTAACCTCAAGCCGTGAAATTTCCACCAACGTTACTTCCGCACCATGGATACGTATAACCTTTTTATTTTCTCTTGAAAAGGCCCGATAGGTGAATGACCGGTCAATAAACATACGTACAAAAGGATAAGCAACATATACACTCGAAGGGTACATCGTCGCCCAATAAAAAGTGTTCCTATCCTACATAAAATATAAGGTTATATACTTTTTTGCTAGCACCTACTCCATTAACCTAAGCCACTTGCCCATACTCTAAAGACAGAAGTATGCATCTCGATCTCGTTCACATCCGTCTGGACGAATATCAGTCACATGGATGCCAACTCTTCTCGCCTGTTTTTTTATTTCTTCGGTGTTGGGTGAAAGAAGCGCCAAAGGTTCTTTGCTTCCTGTAAGAATGGACTCGACCCTCCTTAGCTCATCTTCTTTCCCCACGTTTTGTTGCTGGAACCGCGCCTTCTCACTTTTTGTTGGTATTGGGCAGTGGATGATCATTGGTGGGACTAAAGAATAAGCTGAAATCGAGAAGATGGGCTGCCGAGGCATGGAGCAGTTAGGGGGTGTCCAATTAGCCAGTAGACCTAGCCAGCAGGGAACTACGTGGACCGATCTGAGCTACGACAAGGTGAGAGCTCGGCGCTCCCGAAAGTATGAGATTTCGAGTTGGGCTCTCGCCCGATCCCGCGGATCAAACCTCGTTCCTACTTTGAACAATACCGAAAATTTGTAGCAAGTGAAGGTGGAAAAAGTCACGAGCGCAATTTGACTAGATATGATCAGGGATCCAGCAGTTCACGTGTCTGTACTAGAGAGAGGGCATTTCCTAAGTCTGCAAAGGCCTAGCTCAACTCAACCGGAAAAATTCGGGAAAATTACCAAAAAAGTCCTAAACCTTTTGCAGTTGTGCCAATTCAGTCCTAAACCTTTTGCAAACCAGCCAATTCGGTCCTTTTGGCTGGCAAGACATGCGTGGCTATGACTGACGTGGCTAGCCGGCCGTCCACGTGGCAATATTTTAATATTTTTTATTTTTATTTTTATTTTTATTTTTATTTCTTTTCCTTCTCCCCCCTGGCTTGTCCGGCCAGGGGGAGGCTCGCCGGCGAGGGCCCAGCTCCGGCGAGGCGAGCTGGGCCCTCGCCATCGATGGGCGAGCTCGCCCAGCTCCAGCGATGGCCCAGCTCGCCCAGCCAAGGCGAGCTCCGCCTCGCCCTCGCCAGAACTGGGCGAGGGCGGAGCTCGCCCAGCCAAGGCGAGCTCCGCCTCGCCCTCGCCAGATCTGGGCGAGGGCGGAGCTCGCCATGGCAAGGCGAGCTCCGCCTCGCCGGAGCTAGGCGAGGCTCGCCCCGCATCCGGCGAGGGCGAGGCGAGCTTGCCTTGGCCGGGCGAGCTCGCCCTCGCCCGCGAGCCTTCCCCCGTCCTGGGACAGGCCAGGGGCGAGAAGGAAAAGAAAAAAAAAAGAAAAAAGAAAAAAATTCGAAAATAATAATAAAAAAATATTAAAATATTGCCACATGGATGCCGGACGGCGCCACGTCAGCCAATGGCCAATGGCCACGCCACGCCGGCGGGCCAAAAAGGACCGAATTGGCTACTTGGTTTAAGGTTTAAGACTCGAATTGGCAAAAAAAAGGTTTAGGACTGAATTGGCACAACTGCAAAAGGTTTATGACTTTTTTGGTAATTTTCCCGGAAAAATTCGGTACACAAATAAATTGCGAAAAAATAGTCCCGACCTACGGGCCCGAAATAGACTGGCCCATCGGTCACTCTCAAACATGATTATTCGCTTTTTTTTAAATGTCTACATATTGTAATTATTTCCATCTTGCATTAACAATAGATTTCTTCCTTTCCTTCTAATTCGTGGTCCCATCTCATATGATTTGATTCTTGGACCATAATAATGGTTAGTTGGATTTTACTTAATTCTCAGCATGGCGGGGCCTATCCCTATCAATACTTAACAAGACAAAACTTAATTTAACTCGGTACAAAAAAATTAAAAACCGACACGACTCAATGTGTTTTCACTCGTTATCAAACAAATTTACAAAGTTTCCATCGTACGGATCATTTTGACACAAGGCACAAGATCACGCGAGAGCGCGAATTTGCCGCTGTCTGTAGTAATTACAGACCACGGGAACCTCGTCAAAGACAAAAAAGTAGAAAACCCCCCCTCCCCAAAAATAAAAATTAAAAAGGAAAAAAAGAAAACAACAGTAAAACAAGTAAGCGAAAAAATACATAAATTAGGGCGAAATAATTGAAAAAAGACAACGAAGCATCGCACGACGATGCATCACCCACCAGCTAATCCCACCCCAGCAGGTCCAACCTTTTCTGGGCCCACTTCCCTCCCCCCCCCCCTCCACGTGGCCCAACCCGGCCGGTCCCCCCGAAATCCCCCTTTCCCATCTTACCCTCCCCCTCGAGGCCGGTACGGAGGGAAAGAACCAGGGGTAGTTCCGTCAATTCGGGTACGGCACCGCGGGGGTCCCACGGAAAGGCTGGCGCCAAACGGCAGGCAACTTGTCGCCGGACTCCAAAAATCTCGCCAATCCAGTTAAAAAAAGGTCATTTCGCGAAGGAGGAAGAAGTAAAAAGAAAAAAAAGGAAAAAACGAAAAAGAGAAAAAAAGACTTAGAGCGGGCGATATAGCGGCTCGATCTGAGAGAAGCGGAGGGAGAGTTTTCATTGCGGCGGAACTTCCATTTGAAAGGGTCGGATCGAAGCAGCAGCAGCAGAAGAAGAAGAAGAAGAAGAAGAAGAAGATCCATCCGGGAGGCCTAGGGTTTCGAGACGCGCGCTCGGCGAGAGAGAGAGAGAGAGAAGGAAGGATGAGGGAGATCATAAGCATACACATTGGGCAGGCGGGGATTCAGGTGGGGAACTCGTGCTGGGAGCTCTACTGCCTCGAGCATGGCATTCAGCCCGACGGCATGCTCCCCAGGTATGCTCGCCGCTCCTCCTCCTCCTCCTCCTCCTCCTCCGCCGCTTCCCGATCCGCATCTCTCTGCCGGTTCTTTTGCGCTCCGGCGCGTGTTTGTGTGTTCGTTTTCCGTGTGTGCGGGATCGGCGTCGGCGATGAACTGGATCTCCGGCTCTTCCGGCGTCCGCCTGCTATGTCTCGTCCGCGGTTCCGTTCGGTTATTTTTGCGTTTATCTCTTCGCATTGCGTTTGTGCATCTGTTCGACTGGAGTTTAAGCGGTGGAGAGATCTGGTTGGAATGGTTTTTCTTCTTCGAGTTCGGCCCGAACCTGCGTAGATGTGGAGATGATAGTTGTTGTTCTCTCGTTTCGGTGTTGTTTTGACCTTGTTTATAGGTTTTGTGAGGCACATTGAAAGGGAAATCGACTCGCATTGGTAGTTGTTAATGGAAACCTCTGAATATAATTTTTCCAGATCAAGTCATTGGTAATGTTGTTCGTTCGAGAGGTCATTTTGCTGCGAGTGTAGATCTAAGCGGGCGTCCTCTTTTTGTTGACATTGTAGCGACACGACGGTAGGTGTTGCGGCCGATGCTTTCAACACCTTCTTCAGCGAGACCGGCTCGGGCAAGCATGTTCCTCGGGCCATCTTCTTGGATCTGGAGCCGACCGTCATCGACGAAGTCAGGACCGGATCTTACCGGCAGCTCTTCCACCCGGAGCAGCTGATTTCCGGCAAGGAAGATGCTGCCAATAACTTCGCCAGAGGCCACTATACCGGTAGGTAGAAGTTTAGTGCGGTTGCCATTCTGAATGGATGCCATGTGCTCTTGTTGTTTCTTAACGCTGTTTCGCCTTGTTTGACAGTTGGGAAGGAAATAGTGGACTTGTGCCTCGATCGAGTGAGGAAGTTGGCAGATAATTGTACCGGTTTGCAAGGGTTTTTGGTGTTCAATGCTGTTGGTGGTGGGACTGGTTCTGGTCTGGGATCCCTGTTGCTAGAACGGTTATCCGTAGATTATGGGAAGAAGTCGAAGCTTGGTTTCACCATCTATCCTTCTCCCCAGGTACCTGATGACCATTTAGTTGCTCATATGTGAACTGTAGTTCTCAAATTCAAATCGCGGTCTAGATCTCCTCGCTTATGCAAAAGCAGATTCGATTTTTTTGTTTTGGTTTTTTGGAAATGTATATTGCTTTTATACTTTGAGTTCATGCCTCTTGTGGAAGATGGATGGATCTTATTGTGTACAAGAGCACTGAAAATTTGGAATATGAAGATGCGATTTTTTTATTGGGGACTGGGCAGTGTCTGACACTTGTCATTTGCAGGTCTCAACAGCCGTCGTGGAGCCCTATAACAGTGTTCTATCTACTCATTCCCTCCTTGAACACACAGATGTTGCTGTGCTCTTGGATAATGAGGCTATATACGATATTTGCAGGAGATCCCTGGACATTGAAAGGCCAACTTACACCAACTTGAACCGATTGATATCTCAAATCATATCATCTTTGACAACTTCGTTAAGGTTTGATGGAGCCATTAATGTGGATATCACGGAGTTCCAGACCAACCTCGTTCCTTATCCGCGTATTCACTTCATGCTCTCTTCTTATGCCCCCGTAATCTCGGCTGAAAAGGCATATCACGAGCAGCTATCGGTTCCTGAGATCACTAATGCGGTGTTTGAGCCATCAAGCATGATGGCTAAGTGTGATCCTAGGCATGGGAAGTACATGGCCTGCTGCTTGATGTACAGGGGTGATGTTGTTCCTAAAGATGTCAATGCTGCTGTAGCCACCATAAAAACCAAGAGGACTGTTCAATTTGTTGACTGGTAAGTAAAATTTTATTTTTCATTAAGTAAGATTTTGTTTATGAAGCACAAGGCAAAGACCAGGGAGAGCAGTAAGTACAAATTAACTTAACAGGGGGCAAAACCTTTGTTGACGGAAGATGGATATGTTCATCATATTATATCTGTGGAATGTGATGCCGATTTAAACTGGTTTGGTTGCTGTTTCATCACTCTGTCTCTAAAAATGGCACATTTATAATCAGACAATATAGACTCACTGGCTAGGCTCACAAAAAGTTGTCATCATATTGACGAAAAAGAAAGAGAAACTTGTTTGGCATCTCTGCTTGATAATTTACCAAAATTTTGGTGGGGTGTCACTTTCTGTTCTCCTTCCTCTCCTTTTCTTTTTTCACTCTGCTCGCCGCCCAATTTTTCTGTATCCTGTTGTTCAGGCTACAACAGAAACTTGTTTTGCCGGACAACTTTTCTTCTAGATGTTTTGTAAACAAGTACCAATGAGTTGTTCATGCTTTTGGCCAGTGTGCGCAAGGCTGCAAGAAGTAAATTGTGTCCATTTTTGGTTACCATTATATTGTCAACATTACTGCAAGATCGCTAAATGGCTCTTAGTATTCGGTGCTGGTTAATTAACTTTTGTTTGTATTCTTCGGTATATTTGCACCAGAATAATGAGACTAGGACTGTGCTGATGTGGTTTTTTTTGACTTTTATTGACAAAAAGGATTTTCTGTGCATTTGTCCGCTTGTTTCAAAATTGTGGCGACATCCATGACCTCTTTTCTTCTTCTAGAGGTTTGTAGCATGCATCTTGCTTTAGAGCTGAAAATATGTTCTTCGGATCAAACAGGTGTCCCACTGGCTTCAAGTGTGGAATCAATTATCAGCCTCCAACTGTTGTTCCTGGGGGTGACCTCGCCAAGGTTCAGCGTGCTGTGTGCATGATCAGCAACAACACAGCAGTAGCTGAGGTGTTCTCACGCATTGACCACAAATTCGATCTCATGTATGCTAAGAGGGCATTTGTTCACTGGTATGTTGGTGAGGGCATGGAGGAAGGAGAATTTTCAGAGGCTCGTGAAGACTTGGCTGCCCTCGAGAAAGACTACGAGGAAGTGGGTGCGGAAGGTGTCGATGATGAGGAAGAAGGTGAAGACTATTAGTATTGTAATCCTGCAAGGAGATCTCGAGGAATGATATCAGTGGTCAGGGTTTGTCCGCCACCTTATATGGAATTCTGTTTATATTTCTTGTGTAGACGTGTGCTATTTCCTCATGCCTATGAAATTGTGGAACTCGTTGCCTTATTATGAGAGCTGTTTTGTGGTGCTCGAAACTTGAGATGGCAATAAATATCGAACCTGGTTTGCTTGTACCCGCCATGTCTCAAGCAGCCATTCCATAGTTACCAAAGGATGATAATCTGGATGGCATCTGCAGCTGTCATAATCTCGAGCAACTCAGTTCATTAATACTATCACAAGCTTGATTCTTGATTGAGTGTGTATCCTAAATTTTCACCTGATGCCAGGTGAGAACCTTTATGCAATGTAAGGGTACATCATCAAGCACCTGTATATTTTGGATCTGGGAAGGAGTGTGCCTCCATTTCTTTCGTGTCTTTGGTGTTATTTGATACTTGAATAGAATTGCTGTTTTGTCAGGAGCAGCTTTTGTGACTTGTTTCCAACAAGAATTGCAGCTTCTCCTTCTTTTACATTCATTCCAGATTCTGGTGACTTGTAACTCATTGCTAGACTCTCTCTCTCTCTCTCTCACACATGGGTTCCGGCAATGGCTATTGTGGTTGTGGCACGATCATTGCCGAAAACGCCATATGCCAGATCATTTAAATTTGCAAGATCATTCTGTGTGTATAAATCAATGGAAGGTGGATCTAGATGGAGTTCTCCAAGTTCGCTCCGAACTTCTTTCTGGTCAACCTGTACTAAGCAGGACTAATTTGTGATGTATCGGTTTGTTTTCTCTAAAACTGGAGGAGCCGGTAGTCCTTTTCCTGCATATTATCTGAGTATAGATTTAAGTTTAGCTTGATCGTTTGTTGCCGAATACGAAGGGTTATATCTATGTAAAATGTCGTTATATCCGAACTCAAAAGTAAAAGAAAGTAGAAGCATCTAAGGCTATGGGCTATTACTCCTGCATAATTTAGTTTATTTTTGTGATAAGTAGCTCTTTTTCGATGCTGTTTGGAAATGGGAAGGCCTCAGCATAAAAATGAAGTATAACATCTTCAGAATACTGATTCCAGTATTCTGTATCCTGCACTGTAATTGACAGAATCTACCTAACACATAGTAAGGTCCATGGAATGGAAGAGAACAGCATTGAAAGATAGATCTCTCTGTTTCAACTCTGACAGAACAATTGGCTCAATGTGGGAAGATCCCACATAGTTTCGTTCGAATTGTACGTGTTCTCCAAGTACTCGTTGAGTCCATTAATCGCGTAAAGTGAAGCAGAAATCTGCCTCTCCACTTTCATACGTTCAAACTCTGAGAGCTCCAAATCAGTTGTGGAAGCATATGGCCCGTGCTTCGGCAATCCGTCCTCTTGGACTAAAGGGAGCTGATCCAGGCCGGAGGCGAATGCCCATGAATGGTTGTATTGAGACATAGGTGTCGATCCGAGGCTCGCTAGGCAGCTGCTCAAATCCGGTCTGTAGGCATCGTCGAAAATCTGGGCATCTTGCATCATCCCACTGTAGAAGGAGCAATCACTGTCACTACTTGTGTACACATTGGTGACAGTGCTGAGGCTGATCATGCTGCTTGTGCTAGTAGTTGAATTGGTCCGTGAAGCGGGTTTTTTGGTGGAATTCGAATTGGGAGGCGAAATGACGGGCCGGTCCCATCGCGAACTGATTTTCTGATTCAAGAGGTTCCTGATCTTGAGGGAAAGAGCAGAATTGGTAGGGAGATGAGGGGAGAAGTTGGTCCTCGTGTTGGAACCACGGAGGAGACATGCGGCCTCATCATAGGCCCTTGCAGCTTCCTCGGCGGTGTCGAAGGTGCCGAGCCACATTCTGATCTTCTGGGTCGTGTCCTTAATTTCGGCCACCCATTTCCCTGAAGGCCTCTGTCTGACTCCTACAAACTTGCTCTTGGCTGTGTTGTTGGAGGGTGTGGATTTGAACTTGGTTTTCCTGATGGGCGAGAGTGGTTTCTGCTGTGGCTGCTGCTGATGAAGATAATGGTCTTGCCTTTGGAAATGAATTTCCATGGCCAAATTTAGAGGATATTCTCAATTCTTTGCAAGTGCATGACACAGAGAAGAGAGAGGAGGGTGATTTATATACAAAGAGAGATAGGACGACCTCTTAACTTTCTGAGGAAGGAGTGGGTCGCTCGTTCTTATGCTCTTGTCATTTGGTGTGGCTGAAATTGTTCCTTTTCTAGTGAGATGCCTGAGCTGACGATGCTCTCCAAATTCAACCAGTAGACCAGATCAGAGCCAGTCCTTTGACCTGTTGACATGCTGATCATTACCCTTTGTCTCTCTGACATGGAAGCCACCAACAATATAGAAAAGAAAGAAATCTTGAAAATGATATCAGAATACAAAAGATGCAGATAAAAAGTCAAGAGTTTTGGCTCTTCGGTAGCATTTTCGTTTTGATTAATCAAAGGTCAGAAAGTAGAAAACTACATGATTAACACAACCATGGAGTATGGCGAAAAAGTAGACATTTGGCTTTGTCGCAGTTGTGCTTATGCAAGGGACAGGATTGGTTTTGGCAGGCCTCAACGTCAACGGTGTGTTGCGGGTCATTTTCTCGCAAAAATGGTTTGGTCAACGAAGCGAGGAGAAGCAAGATTATGAAGATTCGACACTTGGATGCACGACAGAGTTCTCCACGAAGGAGGTGGACCCGATGATTCAAAAGTAAGAAGATGATGAACAAATAAGGCCGGGTTAGGTTCAAATGGGAATCTTTCCTCAGCACGCTCTTCCCAGGAAAGAATCTTTCAATCTCGTCTTATCCCACAATACCAACGACCATGATCCTGTCTCGACACAGAGGAACCAGGACACCAATCAGAGATTAATGACTGATTATGGGGATTGTGGTGTTCTGGCACATTGAGATCATTCTGCAGCGATGCGGTGGTTAAAATCACTTGTTTTTGGGGGTTGTTCGATACTATGTTTCAAGTGTTCAAAGGTTATCAAAGCCATCAAATTGAATCAAACGCCAGAAAATAGTTTCTTAGCACTTAAAGGAGACGACCGAACGTCCTCCAAGTCATTCCATGGCTAATCAGAACGGTGCCCACGACCTAGTTTAATTCGTTCATGCCAGTTTTCGTTGTAGCTATCATGGTCATGGCAACGATATCAAGAATAAATCGACTTGTCATTTTGTTCTGGAGTCACAAAGATTGCTATTGCATTAGGTTTAAACTGTTGCAGGCTAACTACTTTAGCTTAGCAACCTTTTCGCCAACAAAATGAGAGCCGTCACCGATTCACCGTAGTTGGGACAAAGTTACCTATATGGTCATGGTCACTGCAGAGAAGAACATAAGGGAACTTTTCCTGGCTCAAACAATGCGAAGCTCTCGGATGGATAAAAGCTAAGATGAAGTATCCAACAATTCAGATGACGCATCTAGCGATTTGGATGGAGTTCTTATGAGTTTCTTTCACGAGTCTCAGCATTACATTATATCAGTCAGAGCCGCATGCAATTAGGAACAGTTGATGAGACTCAAGAACTGTCATGGGAATTGCCTGCAAGACGACCCTTTGATTTTTGACATCTATTGTACAACGACAATCAGCTACCCTTCTCAGGACTCAGAAACTAGCTTTGAGGAAAAAAGTAGCGCATCTTGCAAAAACAACTTTGTTTATTTATGATTACTCCAGTACCTTCCTGATAAATGTAGAAGGAATGACGATTATATGTTGAACGTTGTTCACAGGAGACAGATTGCAATCCAAGGATGACCATTTGGAAGCCAAAGCTGATGAGGTAAAGCTTGCACCTTTACTAAAGAATGTTCAATTTGCAATTTGCTGGGTTAGTAGAGTTTGACCTGCATGTGCACGCAAAAGCTAAAGAAAAATTCAATGGTCTCAGCATACACTAAAGCCACAAAGCTTGGACCAATTGACTTCCTAAAAGACACGAGTAGTTTCGTAAATTTGCTAATATAGATGGCCAGGACAAGAGGACACATCTTTGCCAATAATGCAGTTGCCCATCTTGACTTGAGGAGAGTTGGGAGACTTCATTGACATTTACGCACATCTGATGATTACTTTCCCTCAAAGCAGCAGTTACAGAATGATCTGAAGGGGGACTTCAAACCCACCTGTAAGAGGTTGCTAAACTGTAACATCTTCAGCATTAAGAGAACCTTCGACTCTGTAGCTATATATATCACTGCAAAACAGAAGCCAACTTGTAGGACAAAATTTTGTGATATGACATGAGACATGGATTAAGGTTAAAGATACTCCGATTATCAATAAGGCAATGAGTTCTTGAATACTTGGATAGAACATGTCTATATGCTGACTCAATATCCACTAACCCACTGGCAAACAAGCATCTGCATATACATGCCTTAATTAGGCAACCTGTTCGACAGATCAATTGAAGTCATACTGCTCTATTTGAAAAGACCAGACAACATGAGAGACGTCTCTAATGGGGTAAAGGACACGTGCATCGTGCATAACCCAACTTCTAGCAAGTGCAATTAATTGAAATCCAAGAATAATCCTGAAAGAGGGTATAATTCGATTTCTCAGTCATCAGAAGATGCGTGAAATTTACTCCTAGACTGGTTGCTCTTTCAAGTTTCAAGCATTAGTTTTGTGACCTGGGCATCTTCGAACCAAGTGATCACAAATTGTTAGTACTATTGCTGCCGCAAAAAACACTAGTTTCACGATAAAAAATTGCGAGCGGTTCCCTAGGAAATGTCGCTGCTTAAAGTAAATGGCTTTATCTCCAAATTTTCGAGATCTCGACAGTCATTGGCATGGCAAAATTAAGTCCTCACTTTTGTGTAACATGATTCTTGCTTCCCCAACAATCACCTCAGACAACCATCAGTCGGGACCCCGAACAACCAAGACAACCATTAACGTGATGTCTAACCATACAGGAAAAGAGAGCAACACACCACACATAGCATAGAGATAACAGGACTTGTAATCGATGATTCTGAAGCTCATCCAGAACTGAATCTGCCGATGAAGCACCTATAGTTATGGCCCGACATGCAGAGCCAGGATCCAGATCCACGGACGATGTCTCATACAAGGCTGCGAATCTTGAGCGCTCGAATAAGCTTAAGCTAATCACACCACCTGGTGAGTTCTTTTACCATGCACACGACAGTAGAAAGATTATACAGCTGATGCCAGGAAATGTGACTGCAAATCTTCCAATGGAAAGAGAGAGGCAGACAAAAGGAATCAGCAAACTTCATATGAATTTGTGAACAACATCCCATGTAGGCCAGTGGCATGAAACAGGGAGTGCGCCGCGTGTGGCGACAGAATGTGTTCCGTTCTAAAAACCAAGCACAACTGGCATGCTCCCGTCTTTCCTTTTACAGTACTGAAGAATTCCGGAGGAAAAGGAGAGGACTACAGCATCAAAGCAAGAAAAGCACACTGAGGAGGGTAGGAGGGTGAACAAGAACAGGTACGACCTCCTCCAAACAAGAACGTCCTTCTTTCAGGGTAAACCCCATCGCTTTGCAATGAAGATCACCGTCACTAAGAAACGCACGGTGGATTCTCAGGACACGCGCATCATCTAGCTCGTCCACACGCTGAGAGTTGGTCGGTTTCCGGTCCCAAAAGAAGAGACATTTGGAATCATGCAGCGATCGAAATCCAAGTTCAACAACGACCCGCCAAAGTCGCACGAAACGGGAAATCAAAATGGTAGAAGTTTGCAGGCGCACGTGCGGGGCCGCATGCCGGATCATCAAGTTCGGGTCGCGAGTCGTTCCGGATCCGGATCCCCCGCGGATCCGAATCCGGCTTACCGCGATTTCTTCGGAGTTCCGGGTCGTTTTCGGAGGGGGGCCTTTTTTTTCTATCGCCCCGAATCCCCCGAAGAACATGTTCCTTAACGAGGAAGTCGGGCGGGAATGGGCCTGCGGGTCCCACTCTCCCTCCCCGCAGTACGCCCACGCGCCACCCGTCGTGCTTGGATCGCACGCGCTGTGCATCGACTGCCGGTCGCCCACTTGCCGCCGCGAGCGAGATGGCATGGGGGGAGATCCCGCTCGTCATGGATCTCTCGACCGGATTCGGCTTCGATATCGAAGTTCCCTCACCGCGGCGTCCGGGCGCCCGGTATCTTTACCTCCAGGCCACGCGACCGTTACGAGTTACGGAAATTTGCAACGGGATGGGATGGGATGCGACGCGCGCGCCCGCCTCCTCTTCCCTTCGGGACAGCGGGATACGCAGGCGGGCGGAGATAGCAAATTCTTGGCAGAAGTAGAAAATTCAGCCTGCGCAATCCAAAGCCAATGCTAATGTGTTTTTTGTCCAGGGGAAAACAAAATAAGGAAGCAAAAAATTCTCGAAGGATTGATGGGGATCTTTGATTTGGGCCTTGGGCTGGGCCCAACAACCCCGGCGCGTGGAGTGCACGGCCCAGGAACCGCGCCCGGGGAGAGCAATCCCCTGGCCTCGGCTCGGCTCGGCTCGGCTCCCCGTTCCCTGCGGCTCCCAGCGAACAAAATGAGCACCAACTCACCAGTCATCGTGGCATCCAAAAAACAACAAAGAGAGAGAGAGGAGAGAGAAAATCTGCATCATCTTTCTCCTTGCCTTTTTTTTCCATCTACTACTTCGCTCCATCGACCACCACCGCGCACACACTGCACACGCTCGCACCTGCCAAAAAGCAAAGCAAAGCAAAGCAAGACAGGCGGCGGCGACGACAAACCGCGATGAGGAATCCGTCGTCGTCGGGAGGGACGAAGACCCCGTGCTGCATCAAGGTGGGGCTGAAGCGGGGGCCGTGGACGCCGGAGGAGGACGAGCTCCTCGCCGGCTACATCAACCGCGAGGGGGAGGGCCGGTGGCGCACCCTCCCCAAGAGGGCCGGCCTCCTCCGCTGCGGCAAGAGCTGCCGCCTCCGCTGGATGAACTACCTCCGCCCCTCCGTCAAGCGCGGCCAGATCGCCCCCGACGAGGAGGACCTCATCCTCCGCCTCCACCGCCTCCTCGGCAACAGGTAACCCTCCTCCTCCTCCTCCCCGACCCGATTTCGAAGATCGTCGAGTCGGGATCGATCCGGGTTTGAGCTTCTCTCGATCTTGGCTAGGGTTTCGTGCATTCTTGAATCTTGAAATGTTTCGGGAGGGGCCGATTAGGGTTTCGATATCCTCGCTCGCTCTGGTCGCTCGCTTACTTCTCTCTTCCACTCACTGATTCGCCACCAGCGCCTGCAAAATTTCCAGCTCTCTATCATCTCTCGCAGGAACACACACTCTCACTCAATCGCTCGCTCACTTTCTCTCACATTTTCTTTAGCTTCGTTAAGGATTTACATCCATAGTACCCAGAAAACCACTCGCTGATTAATCAAGAATCTCTGCGGAATTCAGCTAACGAACTTAATCTCTCTCTCTTACTCATCGTGTCGCGATTTTAAATCTTATCCTGACCTATGTTGTGTGTGTGTGTGTGTGTGTGTGTGTGTGTGTGTGTGTGTGATTGCACTATGATATATAGGTGGTCTTTGATAGCTGGGAGAATCCCAGGACGGACTGACAATGAGATCAAGAACTACTGGAACACTCACCTGAGCAAGAAGCTCATCAGTCAAGGGATCGATCCGAGGACACACAAGCCGCTCAATCCAGAAACCCAGAACTCCAGCAGCAATCCTCCGGCGAAAGCTCCTTCTGCCAAACCGGCACCTCGCCCCCGAAGCCCTAACCCTAGCCCCATCTCTTCCGGCCTCGAAGAAACCAGCAGCGGCAGCCCAGCCATCATCAAAGTAAATGATCAGCTCCAAAGTGCGAATAACATGGAGGCTGTGTACCAAAATGGGACTGCGGCGGCTCACGGCGGCCAAGCTGGTTATTTGCCGGGTGCCGAGCATTACCATGTGATGGGCTTGAGAAGCAGCCACCACGGACTGTCTAACGAGGAGGAGGAGGACCTCAACTGCGGCGGGGACGATGTGTTCTCCTCGTTCCTGAACTCTCTGATCAACGAGGAAGCATTCCCGATCCAGCACCAGCTACAACAACAGGCAATCGGGTCCTCATCGGATTCGGATCCCATGGCTGCAGCACCTGTTTTCGGGATAGGCACTGGCTGGGAATCTGCAATCATGTCTTCGGTGATTAATCAAGACAATAATAGCAGGAGGGTGAATGAACAGGTTAAATAGCAGCATATGTATATCCCGAGTTGGAGAGTACTACCTATCAGCTGCCATAAACTATGAGGTCTCTCAAGGGTTTGGAATGTCATTCTATGTGTGTTGTGCCGATTCTTGTTTAATCTCTTCAATCAGCTGCTTATTTATCACGGCTGATTTGTTGTAATGGTGTGTGTTATTTGATGTAAACAAACCTTGCACTCAGTATTGTACTTATTTGATATATAAAGATGCGTGTTGATATGCCAAATGCGTTCCTTCATTGACTGTCTTGCATTTTCCGGAAGAAATCGAAGAATTTCCTGGGAATCCTACAAGAAATTTATAATTACTTGAGGGTTCCCGCTTGTTGGTTGCTTAACTTTCTTGAATCAGATAGTTATAAGTTGTGGTTAGTATCTCAATTACTATCTCATCCTAAAGCATCAAAATACATGAGGACGTATGCCTAGTCATCACTAGAACTTTGCTTTTGATTATCACTCAAAAACAATAAATCCAGCATGTCAATACTTCAATCTACCCGGTATAAATTTCGTCTATTTTTCCTCCTCATACACGACAATTGACTTCCTGTGGTTATGCAGTAACCACACCAAGGTAGCCACAGTAATAGACACGTACGCCTAAGCCTGGACAATAATTCTCGGAAAGTTTTAAAGGAACTAAACATTTTCCGATTCAACAAGGCAACAGTTTCGCATATACAAGGAAAACCCATTTTTCCTGATATTATACATATATCTGAATAAAAGCGAAGAAATTGACACCAACAGAGAAAACAAAGTTGTTTACATATTCACTAGCACATATGAACGAGCATTGTGTAGTTACGACTGTTCTACGAGTCAGCAAGCATTCATATACCGAAAATTTGCAGCAAAAGACAAAGGAAATGCATTGCATGCTTGCTCAATTTCGTTCTAGTGGACATGCTAACAGATTTATTTAGTGATAGAGGCTAGAGAATGCTAAGAGCCGCAAAAAGGAAACCCTAGTCATGAGGGTGTGCCATGTTAAGCAGAAACGAGAGTATTATGATTACATTAGGCTTTAGGTAGACGGCATTGCAATAAACTAGAAGGTTTATGGCTCTACGATAGTGTTTGAATTCAGATTGTTATCCAGCAAAGGTGTGTTACCCCTTCTTGGTTCATGGTCATGAACCGCTCTTATCATCCTATTATGTTCTTCAGTTGTGTTGTATGATACTTTATCTAAGACAAACTGGCCATAGCTGTACTTTAACCCACGTAGGTATGTACTAGACAAAGGAAATAGATTTTTCATGAATAATTACCATTAGAGTATTCCAGAATCTATGTACACGAGTTTTCTTAGTTACGTCAATAGTGAAAATTGAGACTCTTACACCACATTAATCATCTTGTTAGAGCATTCAAGCCTTATATCTTATATTCTTAGCATCATCAGGTTGCAATAGATTCATTTCTACAAGAGAACATTGATTCATGAATAATTACTATTAGACAAACTGGCCATAGATGTACTTTAACCCACGTAGGTATGTACTAGACAAAGTAAATAGATTTTTCATGAATAATTACTATTAGAGTATTCCAGAATCTATGTACACGAGTTTTCTTAGTTACACGAGTATTCCAGAATCTTTTGTCTCCTCAGGTATGAGGTTTTTGTGTTCGGCTTCACTCTTGTACTTTGTGCGTTGAAAAGTTATACCACTTACCTTACCAAAAAAAAAAAAATTGAGACTCCTACACCACATTAATCATCTTGTTAGAGCATTCAAGCCTTACATCTTATATTCTTAGCATCATCAGGTTGCAATAGATTCATTTCTACAAGAGAACATTGATTCATGAATAATTACTATTAGACAAACTGGCCATAGATGTACTTTAACCCACGTAGGTATGTACTAGACAAAGTAAATAGATTTTTCATGAATAATTACTATTAGAGTATTCCAGAATCTATGTACACGAGTTTTCTTAGTTACACGAGTATTCCAGAATCTTTTGTCTCCTCAGGTACGAGGTTTTTGTGTTCGGCTTCACTCTTGTACTTTGTGCGTTGAAAAGTTATACCACTTACCTTACCAAAAAAATAAAAAATTGAGACTCCTGCACCACATTAATCATCTTGTTAGAGCATTCAAGTCTTACATCTTATATTCTTAGCGTCATTAGGTTGCAATAGATTCATTTCTACAAGAGAACATTGATTCACTGTGCTTGTTCTAGCAATTTAGTTTTCCAGCTAACGGTTCATGCATCCTACCTAACTATTGACATAGACATGCTCTAGCATGGATGATAGTTCATATTTAGGAAGAACTTAAACCGGTTGATCAACTTTTGTACTTCATTTTGAGCCCCACGAGTTTATACTTTTAAGGTTCTACTTCCCTGGTCAAGTTAGAAAGGATGAACTTATATAAAATATCGCCAAGTATAAAAGTGAGCATGTGTAGCCTTGAATAGGTAGGGTCGGCAAACATGGACGTATGGCCGCCATTTTTGCACCAAACTCCAGATAATGTTTGTTGTACGATAATCGTTCATGAAGCTCGAATGCTGGCCTAGTTTCATTCTATGCATTGTTCTCATTGATATTAATGTCAGCTAGACGTGTAATATCTGCTAAAGTCATTCGAAGCATTGAAAAGAAACCCTAGAAGGCCAGAGCAAATTACAATGAACTGCTCTTATCGTCTTATTATGTTCTTCCCTAATGGTGAATGATATTATATGTAACATATAAAAAGCCACAGTTGTACTTTCACTCATGTAGGTATGCACTAGATAAAGGAAATAGATCTTTTGTGGATAATTGCAATTAGAGTATTCAGGAATCTCTCTCCTCAAGTTTCGTCTGTTATGTCGACAGGGAAATTAATGACCACTGGATTATATTAGTAATCTCGTTAGAGTGCTCTAGCCCTATGTATGACCTTGTTAGCACGATCAGGTTGTAATAGTTTCATTACTGCATGAGGACATTGGTTTCACTATGTTTGTTCTGGCAATTTAGTTTTCCAGTTGACGATTAATGCATTTTAGCTAGCTGTTGTCATAGGTGTGCCTAAGCTAGGATCATAGTTCATATTAGGAAGAATTTACATGGGTCGATCATCTTTTATACTTCATTTTGAGTCCGCGATTTTATATTTTTAAGCTTCAATTTCCCTGGTTAGATTAAGGCGAAAAAATGGACCTAGGAGAACCATTTTTGCACCAAGAACTCGAGACGAATGTTAACTTTACAGTAAATCATTCATGAAGCTTACTTGCCGGCTTAGTTTCATTCTACGCACTATACCCATTAAACACCATGGTCCACATGAGATATCTACTTAAGTCACTCGAGATATTGGAAAGAAACCCCAGAAGGTGAAAAACATATATAGTCATAACCTAGGACCGGCTCCTCCGCCGTTGATAGCTATGGCGACATCAGTAGTCTCTTAGTAGGCAAATTATTTTCTTGAAGATTGTTGAACTTTTTGTGAGGATTACGGTGCTTTAGCGCTAAAATTTTCAGCTATAGTGTCTTAGGGGCTCTAAGTCATCCAGGTTTTTTTTAGCGCATTCTGAAGTTATCCTTCAGGATTCCCTTATCAGCAAACTCATCAGATTGATCACCTTGAAGGGATGCTTATTGTTTCGTTACAGCAATTTGATCGCATGCCTATATAGCTAGAGCTTCTCATCTAATAAATGAACAGTGTAAATAATTGTTCTTCCAAGTAGCCGAACAACGTACGTCACCACTAATTTGCTCCGTGAGGGACGTTTAATCGAACATAGGATTCGAATTTCACTGCAGTAATATCGGGTTATCGAAGTTTCTATTTAAACAGCTTTAACATTCACCTAGCGTAGTACACATTCATGCAGATGTAAAATCTTCATCTATCCCAGAAGATATCGTCTACGGACAAGAAATAAGAAAACAGCCACAGCGAATGAAGCATATAGTTACCTTAGCAAGCATGCACACTCGTGCAAGATTTCCCCAATTGAACTCCATCTTCAAGAGCGTAGAGTTGAACCACTAGCTTCCTCTCGATGTCTCACCCATTCGTGCGCGGAGCCTGTAATAAAGAGCAAATATCTTCGTATTCAGACCTCTTGCATTTGCATGGAGGACGTTCATCGTCCGCTAACGCCTCGGTAGGTCCGAGCTACTAAACGATGAACTCCTCCGCAATGTCTATGCCGAAGCATATTTCGTTGTTCCAATCATGCGAACATTGTCATAATGCACGGAAAACTTTGCTACTTGGGACTTAATTAGACATGATTAGTGGGCGAATTCTCGAGCCTAAAACTATTCATCCGGGCCTCTCCATCTTATTCACTAGGGCTCGGCCTTGCCCTAGCCCAAACCCGCCATTCAAGATTCTAAAAGAGATGGAAAAACAGAGAGCAGTCCAGAGGAGGACGGGTTGCTCCGGGCCCGGCCCACCCAAAAACTAGCAAGTAGGCGACGGCGTAGGGCGGCGGCGGCGGCGGCGGCGGGGGTGCGTGCACCGGACGGCCACCTTCTGCTGAATTTTCTTCTTTATTTTTCTGGGTGTTTTGAACGGCCGATGACGATACTGTGCCAGCAGTTGTGACCTAACCAATCATTAAAAAGGGAAGACTTCCTCTCTCGTATGCGGACCACCCTCAGTTCAAAGCTTCGGAAGCCGGAAGCTCAACGAAACTACCAGTCTCGTTATACCGACGGGGATTGGTAGATGGGGTTGACTTTAATGGGCGTCCAGACAGACTTCAGCGGGCAACGCAAAACCGTCGCACCACTCGTTTGACCACCCCTTCATTTTCCTCCTCCTCTTCTTCTTACTTTATTTCTGTTTAATCCTTGGTAAAGAAATCAAAGGGCATGTCCCCAGATGAAGAGCGCCCAAAACAAAAACCCCTCCCCCCCCCCCCCCCAAAAAAATATCTTTCCTGTAGATTCGGGATGTTTCGTCGTTTCTCGGTATGTAGGCGGCTAGGTTAAATTAGATGACTCCATACGGTATGCGTCGTGCAATGTTTGCTCGAACGCCATGCGCGCTAGGAACATAAACTGTTGCCGAGCTTGTTAAGAACGAGAACCTTGATTACTCTGAATAAGGTAAAAAACCAGGATATGTGAATATTGCAGTCATATTTTCTCAGCTCTGTTGCGAAGTGGATTCTAGTGGTGGAAGCTTCATGATGGACACTTAAATCTAATCCATCCCTAAATTGCTGTATCACGTTTTTGTCCCCATGCTAATCTACCAGTAACGGCCTATAGAGCTTACTTTCTTCTTCCTGGTTATAATGCCCTACGGAACTTACTAAAACCATCTTAATTTAGTCTCGAAAACACTCTCTTTCCCTCCAAGTAATCATCCATGCTCAGTTGACTCATTCCTACCATGCCTGATCAAAAGTTTTTTTTTTTTTCAAGGCAATCAACTTTACCATATATAGAAAAACTAGGCGGCCCGTTTCATGGAAATCAAGATCATGAAGTGGGAATCGGTCTACGGAAGTTGGATTACTCTTGGCTTTTGATTCATTCCTGTGATTAAGAATTGATTCTGATTTTGCTGAACCCAAAACATGGTTCTGCTCTGTTTCTCTTCTGCTCTGTTTCTTTCCCTACTTTTTTCTCTTTTTTTCTTTTTTGAGGTTTTTGGCTAGCTATAAGCTTTAACGTTATCTTTCTGGACCTTTCTGGTTGCAGCCGTAACTTGAAAAGAGTGGGATACGGCTCAAAACTCTATCTCTATGTTGATTGCGAAAAACTGTTAAAATCTATAATGTTCTTTGTCTCTGTCTTTTATCTTCATGTTCATATTCTAGGAATTACAAGCAATATTATCTTGTGCTTTGGTTTTCTGTCACTTTGGCAGATAACCTAGCCACAAACTTAAGAGGTGCCTTAAGTTAAGGCATTCCTGTCTACTACCTTTAAATGGACATGAAAATGAGTTTACTCTGGTCAAAATGCAGCTGGCCGATGCTCAACAAATATAATGTACTTTATAAATGTGTATTGTTCAGAGACTGTTCGTTAACGTGATAAACCCGTCATTGCATTCTCGTGACGGGAAAAAAAAGAATGAACTCCGGAGTCCAACAAGCATGCAGGGCCATGAACACGAGACGGTGGTTGAGACTAGGACGGTATCTACAAACGCTACATACGAGTTAAAGCCGAAAGAGTTGCAGACTCCAACCATCCAAAACTTAGCAAGAATTAACAACAAAAACACAGAGCAAGAGACCAAACGAAAGACAAAAGGAAAATAACTTCGCGTAAGCAGCCATCTTTACGTGTAATGTGACAAAAATATCCCACGAATTCGAAGTCCGGCGAGCACAGCAAAAAGCAGAATTTCTGGTGCACCCAAGATAGGCGAACTCACCTCCATGAGAAAGCCCGCATTCGAGAAAACCATGCAGCAATCTGCCATCACTGGAGCTCCCTCATTCCGCAGCAGACGACGCATTCGGGGGGTTCAGAACATATGATGACACAATGATCATCTTCCAGATGGGGTCTCCTGGATAAAGCGAAAAGAAAAGGAGATTTTGCAGGGGCCGCGAAGCCAAAGGAGATTGAGCGAAGAGAGAGATCTTCAAAGGGTCGGGAGGATCCTCTCCCCTTGGCCCCTGTGCTGGTTCTTAATATATTGCCCCGGGTCGTACGAGGGAGGGAGGAGGGAGGGGGATGACCGACACGTGTCAGTCGGTCGAGGGGCGCGGAGGACTCGGCAGATCCCGGCAAGGAAGCGCCCGCATGCGCGTTGGGCCTCAGGATTCCGCGAGGATTGACCGGTAGATCGCGGGGGGGATTACCGGCTGCGCCCGGTTGTCCCCTCCCCCCCCAACCCACCCACTGGAATGGCCAACCAAACGTTCTAACCGGATGGGTCAGAATATGTTAGACAGAACAACCTTTCTTTGACATCCCCTCCTGCTTCCAGGTTCGTTGCTTTTGACACGAGATTCCTGGAAGTAGAATCTGACTCCTATTGTACTGTCCATCTCCGAAAGGGTATGTCGTCGGCAGGATCTAAGTACGTTAGGGGTCGCATGCGAAAAACCCGTCTTACAGAATTCGGGACGGTCTAAACGGGAGTAGGTAGGCCCCTTCAGTAAGGCGATCAAAAATCCAGTTTGCCCCCTATTCGGTGTTTGCTTCCATTATGGAAGGCATAACATCACGGCATTGCGCGGTCGGCACTCGGCAACCACGTCCGACTCTTCCCATACCGTTATCACCAAAAGGTACGTTGACAGGATCTAAGTACGTTAGGGTCGCGTTACGAGAACCCGTTTTAAGAAATTCGGGGACGGTCGAAATGGGAGTCGGCCCGGTCGGTACGGCGATCGGAAATCGGCTTTTGCATCTGCCGAATTCCCCGGTATTCGGTGCTGCTTCCACCCTCGAAGGCATAAGATCGCGACATTGTACGGTCGGCACTTGGCAACCGCGCGAATATGCGCATTACCGCTTGGTTGTAACACCATTTACGTGACATCTCTTGATGTACCTAGCTCGCTGCTGAAATTGCCTCTTGTCTGAAAATTCAACGAGATCATTACACAGGTGAATTTATACAGTAATGTCGCTATCTCCCCCCCCCCCCTATGCTCGTTAGCATCTCCTGTCATTTTATCTCTTCCCAGCTGGAACCTTCTCAGATGGACTGGGATTACAAGGACAGCGCAACTAGAGAAGATCCACAATTAACAAAACGTCGTCGGTGTTGAATCGTCTCCTACGTTTTCGATATTCTCGTGAGATTTAAGGTATCATAGAAAATATTAAAAGAGGGAGGAGGCGGAACAAAAACTTAATTGCAAGTGGAGGGCGGTGGCGGTGGTCCGGGGCGATGGATTTGGTCGTCCCAAATTATGAGTTTCGAGACCTGCGCGGTGACGAACTTTATAGCAAATGAATTGTGAAATAATTAATAACAACAACTATAATAAAATAATGGTAACAATAATAATTGTAGTAATAATGATGATATGAAGATGGGAGAATAGACTACCAGTCAAACTCAAGGCAACCTACGGTCAAATACCCCCGAAGTCAAAAGGTACGCAAAAAAGGATGCGATGATGCCATTGGGGGCTCGGCATCGACGACCTACCATTCCATTCCGTACCTCGTTTTATACTAATGGAAAACTCGTGACAATTGAGCGTCACTTGGTGTGCGAAAATAAAGTCCGTCCGTCTTTGATATATGACGTCGTTTTTGTCGAACCTACCTTCCCTGTTGAATCGATGGCCGGGGATAGGTTTCTCCCCCATTGCGAGAACGGCACGACAATTCCTGTCCCGAGCTCCGGCCGGTTCGATGGCCTGAGGACGGGATCGGGGACGACCGACCTGGACGCGGCCCCGTTCCCGCCGCCCGGCGCGAGAGGCATTCCGCATGTGGGCCGCCTCCCCGTTCGAACAGGAAAGGAAGAAGGGAAATTCCGATTGGGGGGTGGGGGCAGAGGCTCGCGGCAATGAAACGGACACGGGATCGGGGAGAGATGGGAAGGTTAGATGGCAAAGAGTCGCGTGGAATTCGAAAAGGATTGCTAGAAGTAGAAATCAATTTACTGTTCGAAATTTTGGAATGCAATGATTTTCGGTTTGATAATTAGATAAGGGAGTGATGGAAAGGTACTTGCCAACTGCTCTTGCCCAACACAAACGGCAGCAAATGGGAGATAATTATTAATTTTTGGCAACCACAAAAAAAAATTGGAAATAATTATTGAGACTGAACAGCATATGTAAGTCAGTCAAATTATTGTGCATTTGCTAATAGGCATGCGGCCTGCTGTAAAGGGATTGAGGGATGGGGACGCTCGTATTACAGGTGCGGGGTTCGACTTTCGTGCTCTACAAGAGGCACATCAAAAATCAAAGAGTAAGGAAAGTTAGAAATGGGACAGATAAAAAAAATTTGTCATGGATTTTATTAGAAGAGAAATGAAGCCAAAGGATTGAACGACGGATGGCCTTGTAGTAATTTCCCTTATTATAAAAACAAATTTAACAAATTAAAGTTGTACGGGGACGTTTTGAATGAACTTCGAAAGGAATGCGACCAAGCAGCATCGCCCTCCCCGACAATAATCGAAATAATATTTAAAAAAAAGGGGGTTGATTTTGGAAACACGAGAGAACACTTCAGGTTTATAATCTTTACGTGATATAAAGCACTGTCAAACTCTGAGGACGTAACGTTATTCTTTGTAGTTTAAGGAGATAAGGGATCTTAGTGGTAAGCAATTAAGCACTATTAAACGGGTCTGCTTAATGTCGATTGTGTTTAAATATTTTATTCAAGGGGGAAAAATTACAAAAAAAATATTAAACCTATTGCATTGATAACAATTTAGTCATAAACCTTTCGATTGGATCAATTTAGTTATAAACCTTTTCACATTGGTACCAATTGAGTCCATCCGGCCAATTTAGGCCGAAAATTGCTGAAGTGGACGCCGGCCGTCCTTTTTTTATAATTTTTAAATATTTTTTTCGAATTTTTTTCTTTTCTTTTTCCTTTCCTTTTCTTTTCTTTCTCTTTTTTTCTTTTTTTTTTTCTTATTTCCCTCCGCTAGACGCCAACCTTCGTGATGGCCGGCGGAGGTCGCTGACCGCCTGCAAGGCCCCTCGACCAACCTCACCAAAGGCCAGTCAAGGCTGGCCTCGCTTGTGACCAGTGAGGGTGTCCCCGCCTTTGCTGGCCTCTAGCGAGAGGTGGCCTCGCCTGTGGTCGGCGAGGGCCGTGGTGAGGGTGTCTCGGGCCTCGCCCTTGTCGACAGCCAGTGACCTCCACTGGCCAACATAGAGGCTAATGACTGGTAGAGTGAAATAAGGAAAAAAGGAAAAAGAGAAAGGAAAGAAAAAAAAAGAAGGAAAAGAGAAGAAAAAATTAATAAAATATTTAAAAATTAAATAAAATGTCCGCGTCAATGCCAGCTGTGCCATATAAGACGGTTGACATTCACTTCAGTAATTATCGACCTAAATTGGCTGGATGGACTCAATTGGTACCAATGTGAAAAGGTTGATGAACAAATTGATCAAATTAAAAGATTTATAACTAATACCAATGCAATTGGTTTTGGACTTTTTTAGTACTTTTCCCTTATTCAAACGCTGGCAAGAGTGAAACCTAATGTCCAACTCAAATCCTTCAAATCCCAACTGGGCTAGCTCGACATGTCACACCTTAGCTTGACGCAGCCCAAGGCACTTAAAGGACACAAGGCGGCACGAGCCTAAAAGGGTCTTTTGTAGCAATTTTTTTTTTGGTACATGTGCATTTTGTGCATTTTAAGTTATAAATCTTGTCATGAAAGTACAATTGAATCCTAAAATCTATACAAAGTGCAATTAAGTCCTAAAATTTGTTAAATTGGTGCAATTGAGTCATTCTGTTAATTTCGTCTAACTTGGCTAACGAAAAATATTGACATGGTTTTTTAAAATATTTTCTCTCTTCTACGTGGCTAAAACACAAAACATAAGGTTAAAAATGACGTCGTTTTAGTCCAAATCTGATTTTTAATACAAATTTTATATAAATTAAATTTAAAAAAGCTAAAAAAAGGTAATTGGAGCCAGTGGTGAGGGCCGGTTCATATCGGCGCAGTTCTTGATTCCAAGTGTGAACCCACCCACTCAGACCAAATTGATTTTTTTTTTACATTCTTATTATTCCAAATTTTCAAAACCCTAATTCCCATTCTTTTTTCGCTCAGACTCAGTCAAGTACGCTCGTCGCTCACCCCTCTCACTCTCACTTCTCTTAGTCTTAGTCATGCAGTGCTCACACCTCTATCGCGGCTTCACGCCTCTCAAACTTGGTTCTTGATGATCATTATAGCTTAGGAAAATTCCAAATAATGGTTCAAAGTGGACCTTGTATCAAATAATGGCCTGAAGTAGTCATGACAGTTTTAAATAAGAGTTTGACCTCACCGGCCGGCTGAATATTCGGGCCAATCAAGGGCATTTTTGTCCAAAGGCAATTTTAATTTTAAGTTATTTTTTACTTTTTTTATATTTTTTCTCATTTCTTTTTTTATTTTTTCCTTTTTGTGGTTTTTTCTTTCTTCTTTGCTGGTGGTCGGCCACCAGCTATGCCCGAAAAGGGCTGGGCAAGGGTCACCTTGCCAATGACCAACAAGGGACGGCCTCGCCTAGGCGAGTCGTGACCCTTGTGGGCAAGATCGCCCTCGAAAGCTACAGGAGAGGGACGGCCTCGCCTCAGCAAGGGCAACCCTCGCCCAACCCTCTCCGGGCATTGCCAGTGCCGGATCACTGTCCACCAGCGAAGAAGAAAGAAAAAACCAGAAAAAGGAAAAAAACAAAGAAAAAAGGAAAAAAAAAGAAAAAAATTCAAAAAAAGGCAAATGATGAAAATGCCCTTGATAATCCGGAAAGTCAAGCCTTTCTTTGAAACTAACATAGCCACTTCGAGTTCTTATTTGAAACAAGATCCACTTCATACCCTATTTTGAGAAAATTATGGCTTTTCAAGCCTTTATTTGAAATAAGGTCCATTTTATGCCCTTATTTGATAAAATGAGGCATTTCAGGCCCTTACTTGGAATTTTTCCTTATAGCTTTGTTCGTTCATGTTTAGCTTATCAAGAGCTTGTTTTATTAACATCACTCGTATAATAGTTTAGATTATACAACAATACTTGCAGTTTTCCAGGGAATATGAAAAAAAAAAAAAAGGAGATTTGGCCAGTTCCTTGACCCACCTAGGGACCGGATCGGTCCGATTCCCGAGTGGGTCCAGAACCAGATGGGCTGGTTCTCGGTTCCCAGTTCCACTTCTAAGGGGTGAGAAGCTTGATGATCACCCCCGGTCATTCGTTAATTGACACTCGACAAAATTTCGGTAAAAACTATATTTGACTTTTATTTTGAAAAAAAAAAAACAAATTGGAAAGGGCAAAACCGTGCTACGTGGATCCAGCAGAACGTTGAGCTTGCAGAATTTCCGACCACTGATTGTTTGACTTTGACCCATTTCCACGACAACCGCTCGAACTGCCTCTCTCTCTCTCTCTCTCTTCTCTCCGTGGAAGCGTCGAAGGGCGTGGGCGTCATGGCGAGCACGAGCTCCCCAACGCTGCACCTGTCGACGGAGCTGAAGTTCCCGTTCGACCCATCCCACCGGAGAAGCCGGAAGATCACGGTCGCTCCTTCCTTGTCCTTCGGCAAGACCGACCGCTCCCCGGAGCTGATCGCCCTCCGATACCGCCGACGTCGCGCTCCCGTTCCTCCGAGCTCGTCCCTGTCCAATGCCGTCCTCAACGAGCACACGACCCAGGACCGGGTCCGAGACGACAACGCCCCAAACCCACCACAGCTCGAAGTCCAGAGCCGGTGAGTAATGCGGAATCGAGGAACGTGTGTGGCTTTCGCGACGCACAATCATCGTTGGGTTGTGAAGTTTCGGTTCGTTTCTCGGGTTTTGAGTATCTGAAAAGCGGGCTCCTTTTCTTGCCTTCGGTGTGTGTTGCAGAATATGGACTTGGAGGGGCTATTCGATTCGGTATCAGTGTTGCGGAGACAGCGGACCTGCTTTGATTCTGATTCATGGTTTTGGAGCGAACAGGTCTACACCGTTCACATTTCATTATCAGACAAACTATTTGCTAGGTATTCATTGTTTTGATCGCTTGACAATACATTGCTCTGTTTTGTGTCTGCATTTATTCCCATGTTGTTCCTTTTTCTACGTATGAGCTTGAAATTCCTTCTATGATGTTGCTGGTGTTATTATGGCAGAGTCTCGTCTGACAATATCTGTGAAACTTGAGTGAAAACTGATTTGTTTTATTAGTAGCGACAAAATTGGGTATGACCATTTATTTCTTGATTAGATTGTGGAACCTTAGATGCATTGAGTAAGCAGGGGGACAATTTGTTTCATGTAGACTCTACTTGAACTGTTGGAATTTAGTCACACTGGTTTAATATCAGGTGGGGTGTATCTCCTATGCTTCAAAACAGAAAAAGTTTAACCATGCGAATGCCATTTAGTGTGCATTTTAAGTACACTTTCTTCTATCTCTCGAATCAAGATTGATGCGTCTGTTGCTGATGTGCCTGTCCTTTTCCCCAGTGACCATTGGAGGAAAAACATTCCAGTTCTTGCGAAATCGCACAGGGTATACGCCATCGATCTGATTGGTTATGGATACTCCGACAAGCCAAATCCTCGTGGTTTTGGAGATGATTTGTTTTACACATTTGAGACATGGGCGACACAGATAAGCGACTTCAGCGTTCAAGTGGTCAAAGATAAAGCATTTTTTATATGCAACTCTATTGGAGGTAACGAGCTTTAGCTTCGGTTATGCTCAATTTTAGTGTACACCTGTAACTCCATTCTTGTATCTGAAAACAAAAGGATCAAAGGATAAGTGCACTTCGCGGATGTGATGGATGAACATGAGGATGGGATATACAGATTTTGATTTTACTGGTAGTATAGTACTTTTCATGGTGCATTACATTATGTTGTAGGAATAAAACATCTATTTCCCCTTCTCTGGGCTCTTCAATATTTTCATGCCGGCAAGTTTTCTTTTTTTTTTAGCAGTGATGTGAGATTATGGTGAAGATAATTCTTGCCCCATTCTTCAGATAAATGGTTCAGCATATGCATATACTTGATAAATAGAGACCTAAACCACAATTCATTTGTGTGCTTAGTATATGTTCTCTCTCATTGATTCTGTTCTCCATCTGATTGTAGGAGTTGTTGGCCTTCAAGCAGCTGTGATGCAGCCGCAGATTTGTAGGGGTATCGTCATCCTGAACATCTCTCTTCGGATGCTTCATATTAAGAAGCAGCCATGGTATGGAAGACCTCTGATCAGATCATTCCAGAACTTGCTGAGGTGAGACTTATTGTCCCTTCTTAGAAGATTAAGCTCTTGCTGAGCGTCTTAAATTTCTGAAGCGAGTTGCTGTTGTGACAGAAATACATTGGTAGGGAAATTCTTCTTCAATTCTGTTGCGACACCAGAGTCTGTGAAAAGTATCCTTTGCCAGGTAAAAAAGTTAAAATTGCACCGAGTCCATGACGGCGCAGAATGAAAGCATTTCGCCTCATCTTTTTCACTGAGTTGAGTGCTATTGATGAACTTTGCCACAGTGCTACCATGACACCTCCCAAGTGACTGATGAATTAGTTCAGAAGATCCTTCAACCAGGACTTGAGCCCGGTGCTGTCGATGTCTTTCTCGAATTCATTTGTTACTCAGGTGGTCCACTTCCGGAAGAACTACTGCCGCATGTGAAGGTCTGTTTATTTTTCATTAACAATCTCAAAAGCTATGCGGTGTCGTCATTAGAAGATAGAGATTGTGATGATACTTAAAAGCTCCTTTTATTGTCGCTTCTCTTTGTCAGTGTCCTGTTCTGATAGCATGGGGAGACAAGGATCCATGGGAGCCCATTGAGCTTGGAAGAGCCTTCAGGAGTTTCGACTCTGTGGAAGACTTTGTGGTGCTCCCTGATGTTGGTCACTGTCCTCAGGTCTCTCTCTCTCTCTCTCTCTCCCTCTCTCTCTCTCTCTCTCTCTCTCTCTCTCTCTCTCTCTCTCTGTGTGATGAAGATTAATGTGGAGGTTCTATTGAGCATCTGTGAGCATTTTCCCTTTGCGATTGGGTGCCGAAACTCGACTGGTTCTGTGCTTTTGTTCTGACACTTGATACTTTCTGCAAACATTCTGACTGGCTTCCTTTTGTCTCTTGCAACACATACGAAGGATGAGGCGCCCCATCTTGTAAACCCACTCGTTGAATCTTTTGTGGCTCGTCATGCGACGCGATCAACTGCATCAACATAATGAATTGGAAGACCATTCTTTGTTTGTGAAATTCATTATAGATGATACCTTCCTTTTTTTCAGTGTCCCTCATAACGATTGGTGTAAGAATGCTTAAGAAATAGTGACAATTTGTACTGCACTGAAATGCTGCTGCGAAGCAAGCCACTGCTTCTTGATGAATGCGTACTTCTTCATATATTACCTCATCTTATGTGGGCTTATCACTCTCGCCCTTGTATGCTCTTATAATACGACTTAAATTATTCGACCAAAAAAAATATTACTCGACTAAGGCAACAGTTTTATAATCAATGTCGTTGGTAAATTTTCAGGACGATAATCAAACCCGAGACTCCAATTTGACATCTGATAGTTTCAGCTCACCTTCCGAGATAATGTTATTTGGAAGATTAAGGCGGCCAATTGATGGCATGCATGGTGCATCAAGCATCGTACCTAAATCGTCCTTTTGCCATGCTTAGCCTGGGAGATTTGAATGAACATCACGCTTTGCATTTGAAACCAAGATTTTTCACTTCCCCTCAATCAAGCATCGTACCTAAATTGATGGCATGCATGGTGCATCAAGCATCGTACCTAAATCGTCCTTTTGCCATGCTTAGCCTTGGAGATTTGAATGGACATCACGCTTTGCATTTGAAACCAAGATTTTTCACTTCCCGTCAATCAATGAACAAAGCTTGTCCTGACCTGACCGCGCACTTCTTGTGATTTGCATTATGATTAAGGGTGAAAACACAACTCTTCAATTCTTGAACTGTATGAAACCGCCCCAAATTGGAGAGAGACTTCGAAAACCAAGTTAATGCTTAACGGGGGTTTCTCATTTCGGCATCGACATGCCAAGACATAATAAGTCTTTGTAGATGGTGAATTATGAAAGTGGGTTGTTCTGTGTCATACAAAGGACAACCCTGGTGGCATTTGCATTTCTATACTAACATCAATAACAACAGCTGAACATATAGTAGCTTAAGTATAATGCTCGTATCAAATTCGTTGAAAAGGGTAACAGGACATCTGTGAGAGACAAAAAGACAAATTAATCCCGACAGGGTAGGAACTCCATGTTACTGCAGGAATAGATTCATCTGCATTTATGCATGGTTGTTTTGCAGCATGCCAAAACCGAAACACGAATTATGATGAATAGAGAAAATGTATTTGTTTCTGCAGTACGATACATGAACTGTACATTAACCTTGATCAGCAGGCCATGATAAAAGGTAATTCTACAAATCTGTGACTAAAATCACAATTTTTTATCGATGCTTAGTCATTTTAATAAGTGATGGTGATTTTTCAGTTTTGTTAGTAATTTTCATTTTCCTAATAGTAACTTCCTAAATGTCTTGGTAAATCCACCATAAAGAGAGCGCAAGAAAAGCTGGAATTCCATTAATTGATGTTCAAGCAATTAGTTTGTTTTTCTTTGTACTTTGCAAACTGCTCTATTCGAGCAGAAAAGGAAGGAAATAAAGCTAAGGCTGTTAGTAGATCAATCTTAGAGCTATTGCTTCTTCTAATTGACAATACCGCAAACTGATCCTATCAAGAATCATAACCGTGCACCAGTTGATTTGAAGAGCGAGTCAAAGCAGCTTGAATGGCAATATTTAACATTACTTAACTATTCTCATCCGATACCCATTGATGCCTCATTGATAGATTTTGAGGCAATTCCTATGCATCTGTAGATGTGAGGAAAACGAGATTCAGGGACACGTTCACTCCTTTCCTTCTCTTCCCCAATCAGGAGCCAAATTTCAGAGGAAGAGAACTCCATTTTTTGCCTCTAGCAAACATATTACCTAGTCCAATAAAGAAGTTTAACATCCGCGAACTCCTTCAATTTGAGGTCTCGTGTCTTTTTCGACTTACAGAAAAGGGCCACCCCAGGGATACGCTATGATGGTCACAACAAATTAGGCAAATGTCTATTTGTTTCACTTGCAACGATGTACTGACAAAATTCACCAAATATAACGACAATATCAATATAGCATTCATGTTAAGAGCTAAGAGCATCATCCTTAATAGTATCCAATAGAGGGAAGATGCACTGCAGGCACGGCAACTTATTGGTAGGCAACATATACACTATGCGAAAAAAAAAATTAGAATTGCAAACATTCCACCATGACTTGGATTGCGAACAGAACCTACAAAAAATCAAATTTGATCTTCTCGGGATCTGCCAGTTAAGTGATGGGGGGGTCTTTGAGACACCCAGTATACAGCATTTAACATAAAGATGTCAGGGACAGATACGAGGTGATACTTTCCCATTCGGGCAGTCTTTTAGTTGAAAAAGCCCTCTCTTCCCCACATTGATTTCGTCATAACCTACCAGGATTTTAGCACATCCTGTTTCTACTTCTCTCACCTAAATTAGCAAAATTGGAGCAAACGATGTACATTCAGGAAAAGTCACAAAGTGCACATGCATCAGATGAAGAACAAATAACAGATATAGACGCGAGTGCTTTCAAGCACTCAACAACTTGGAATTTCCAAGAACAAGGAAATTGCATGAAGCTGAAGAATAGTACAAACAGATCGGCAAGTTTATCGTATTGGCATTCAGCATCTGTATGAAGTAACAGGTACATGTAAGATGAGCTAAGATGAACTCAACCTTCTCACTCAAAAGAAAGAATTGAGAGACAAAAGGCATAGCAAACGATATGAAACGACAAAAGGAAGAAACGAAAAGAGTGTTCTCCAACCTGGTCAGCATGTATTAATTCCATCCTTGCAATCTTTTGTTAGGTTATAGAATGTCTCCACACGTGTCTTCGCTCTATAGAGGACCTCTGTATCAACTGCGGCCCTCATGTAACCATCAAATTCTACAGGTCTTCCCTTGTTTAGAAGCATTGTCTCATTATACCACTCGCTTGTATTTGACCACAATTCCCTGTAATCATCAAGCAGGTGTACTGTGTATTGAGACCTCAACTTATCAAAGTAATTGTAAAAAGGCTCGTTAGTTGCAATGTAAAGATTTCTCCAAAGCGCAATCAATCCCTTAAGCTTTAGCAGAAGAGCATCAGGAGAAGTGTCAGCATCAAGATGAGGCCAGAGCTCTTTATTCTGCGCTTTCTCACCCCGGACCACGTGTACTGCATCAAAATCCCAGTCCATTCGCCCACTAATCTCCGAGACTATATTCATCAATCTCTTTGATTTCCAGAGCGCATGCCAAGGCCTCTGGATGTATTTTGCAGCTTGCCCTTCACAAACCCTGTACCAGTAATTCTCTGGTTCTGGAGCATCAAACTGTCTCCATATAATTGTACTCTTATCTTTCCTCAGTTGCATTGGGGTAACCTTATATGTCGCCACCTTTCTCACCGGCACCTTTTTCTTATGGCTCTTATCCCATCTCTTCTGATCCTTAAGGAACTCGCTCTCCTCCACAATCGATGCCACCTCCTTCAGATGTTCGAAGTCAAAATAGTATCTAAAATCCTTACCCTCCTCATCCTTATTACTAGGATTATAAGTTGCAGGCAAGCACATATTCAAATCCAGCACAAACGTGCGGTTTAAGTACATAGCCTCTCCTAATCCACACAGAAAACTCCACAAATAATGATTCATTTCCTTGCAATAATCCCCACCACGCGAATAGTACAAGTACCTCCCCTTCCTAAAGTTCGCATCCGATCCCAAGCTCGGAATCGTATCGTTAATCTCATCGTCTCTAACAGGTGTCGAAATTTTTGCTCTGGTGCCCCTCGTGGCATTCGATCTACTCGGTCTACGAGCATTGATGCCCGAATGCCAACCACCGGAATGCGCCACTTTATACTCGCAATTGTCTCCAATCTCCATCTTAAACCTCCTAAAATCCCTATACTTCCTCCAAGACTTCTCCTTCTTGTTCCTGAACCTCCAAGCTACATCGCACTCATCTGGCTTCGACCCACTAACTGGAGCTTGATATTCCAAGAACACGATGGACTTAAAAACCCGCAAATTGAACTTCTCGACCGCGATCAAGATACGCGGGTCGGAGCAATTAACGGCCCCTCCGGCCATTTCATGGCAACCCGGGTTCGCTTTCGAGGACGGACCGAGGATCCCCTCCTCGGCTCTCTCGATGGCGGCCTCGGTGATGGGGTTCGGCCCGGAATCAGGGGAGGCCGCCGAGAGCTGCAGATCCTCGCCGGTGTTGAGGAGGGAGTTGTCGTTCTTGAAGGTGGCGTTCTCGCTCTGGGTGAAGAGCCTGGTGAGGGCAGGGGCGGACTCGAGCCAGGGATCCGGGGGCTGGTAGGTGATGGCGATCACGGTGAAGATGAGCACGGAGAACACGAACACGGAGAAGCAGAGGTTCCCTATCAGCTTTATCAGGTTCTGCCCGATGGGCTCCGTGATCGGGCTCGAATCCTTCATGGGTCTTTCTTGTTCTTCCGCTACTTGACCTCCAACCTCAGCAAATTCCGTGCGAAGCTGACACAGAGAGAGGAATTGGGCAGTGCGCACTCACCTCTGAGGCTCTGACGACGAGAGAAAAGGATGGGATTCTTGGGAGAGATCTTGCGAATGGGTAGGAGCGAATCTTGGTTCAGTGTCTCAGTTCAGTCTTGAGTCTGTGCTCGCCGTGAGTGGAAATCTTGAACGAGCTTCGTGCTGGTGGGGGGTCAATGGTGTCTTCGGGTTCGCCGAGGGGCTCTGGATCCTTGTTTTCTAAGCCAGCGGTGGAGGAGGAAGAAAGGGAGCGCCGGAGCCAAAAGAGAACACGAATACAGAAGAATGAAAGAAATTGATGGCAGCACATACATAATTTTTTTTTTGGATACATTTTTCATTTGAGATATGTTTGCTAAAAATCTTAAAATTTATTACGAAAATATAATTGAATCTTAAAATTTTCAAAATGTGCAATCAAGTCTTAAAACTTATCAAACAAGTCTTAATATTAACACCGTCAATTTGTCTAACAGAAAATGCTGACGTAGCATTTTTAAATAAATTTCTCTCTCTTATGTGGCGTTTTAAATTAAATCAAAAGACTAAAAAGGCTAAAATTAAAAAAGACAAAACAAAACTGAAAAAGAAGAAGAGAATGAACTTTACCCGTGGGGCTTAGCATTTTTAAATAAATTTCTCTCTCCTATGCGGTGTTTTAAATTAAATCAAAAGACTAAAAAGGCTAAAATTAAAAAAGA